TACAGAGAGATATTTCATTGTACAGGCTGATAAGCTAAACCAACACATATGTTTTAAAGATATCATGCCATCAAGAGTCCATGAAAATGAGAACATGTGGCATTTTTACAGACTAATGTGGTTTGATGGACCAAGACTCTTGAAAGGTTGGCCCAACCACCCCCCAAAATTACTTATCCCAATAAACAGTAGGAAGTAGTTTGGAGTGAGCTATCCCAAATTCCCAAATGTTGTTTATAACTGTTGATTACATTTAAAGGGGGTTATGCTATAGAGATTTGCATTGATACAGAACTTGATTTATTGATACAAATTTATGGTCAGTTTTGTTATATGTATATTTCTTCTCTTGATGAAGGTATTGTGTTTGTGCAGTTCATTTAAAAATATAATGTATGATTAAGAAATAGAGGTCAATAGATAGTTATCTCTAATAGTCAAGCTTGTAGTCATGTTAGTTAGATTTTCTGGATGTACCGAGATATATTTCAGATGGATAGGTATTCTTCAAACCTTTCAAAGATTACAGAATATGGCATTTAAAATGTTTAAGAGCTTAGGACTTTTCATGACAGGGAGACACATATGCTCCTGACAATATCAATTTACTTAAAGAAGAATATGAGCATTTAAGAGTATCCTTATGACATTGATTAGCCATTTGGGCAAGAAACTGCCCTTGCCAGTAATGTTATGCTGTAAGAAGTGGACATACAGAACCCACAGAAATGACTGCTGAACTTGATTAAAAGTGAGATGATCCTTTGAGGTTCCTGCTTCATGAAAGCCTGCCAGACATTCTGCCAGGACATAGAAGAAAGTGACTGACAAACTGCCTATATAGGTAGAACTGTCTTTGAAATTTCCTGCTTCATGGACAAGTCTGCTGGATATTATGGCCCTGTAGGCTGAACACAGATGCTCCAGTGATACAGAACTTTGGGTGACTGTCCAGGCAGTGAGATGTTTCTGTCAATTCTAGAGTTTTGGAAGTTACTTACAATGCATTGTTGTTTACTTAGGTAACATTATATTTTTCTGGGGTCTTTGATGAACAGATAGTTATAGTTTTCCTTAGTTATGATAAAAGATAAAGTAGATATAAATATTGTAACTACAATTCTTGCTTGATACCTGTTTTGTTATATGTAATTTTAATATGTTAAAGTTGAAAGCTTCCTTTTTATTTAAACAGAAAAGGGGAAATGGTGTGTGAAGTCCTTCTGTATATGCATTGCTTTTATTGGCAAATGAATAAAGAAGCTGCTCTCAGCCAATGGCTTAACAGAACATAGCCAGGCTGAATGATCGATCTGTCTGTCTGTCTGTCTTGTGGAAAGAGGGGAGGAAGTGGGAATTTTGATTGGTATTATTTATAAAGTAATAAAAATGAAAATAAAATAACAGGGAAATATTACAAACAATTGAGATGTCTTTCAGTGGGTAGAGATTATCACCATGGTATAGCTGCACCCAGCAATAAGAAGACAAAACAACTTAGAAGGACTATAAAAGTACTGTAACAAATGGGAAAAGCCAGTCTCAAACAATGGGAAACTATATGAATCCTCTTACAAAACAACAATGTATAGAGAAGGGGAATTGCCAAGTGTTGGGTTGAGAGAAACAGTGATGAGGGTGAGTCTACAGGGTATCACCAGAGAGATTTTTTGTGGTGATGGACAGATAGATCTGTGTTGATTGTACAAAGGCACAAACAAGTAAATACATGCAAGAGCTGGTGATATCACTATTGCAGGTAACTGGGTAATAGGTATAAGGGACTTCCTTATGTTGTTTTTCAAATTTTCTGTCAGTACACAATTATTTCAGCATAATGTGTTAAATAGTTCATTAAAAACAGATTGAGGAGGAAGACATGAAGCAGCCTTGTACGTATTAGAGATCTAACTTACAAGTTAGCTTGTTCATTTATTCGACTAACTTCGTGCCTTCCTGCCTTGTTTGTACTGTGCTTGGGAACACAATGCCTACAGCCTTTTTGCTATTACAGCCTAGCTGACAAAAGTGAAGCAGATGGAAGTCAAAGCTGTGGCCCTGCCCTCGGAAAGACAATGGTGTCACTAGACCTTTTCAAGTATTCTCTCTCTCTCTCTCTCTCTCTCTCTCTCTCTCTCTCTCTCTCTCTCTCTCTCTTTCTCTCTAGAAGTGAGTCAGTGAGATGCCATGTTGCCACAGCATTGGATAGATGCCTGCTGCAGCTCGTTGCAACTTTGCTGGTAGGCCACAACCTCATAGTGATGCACAGATTAATGGAGATGGGTTAGTTTAGGATATAAGAGTAAGCCAGAAATGCATTTAAGCTATTGGCCAAACAGTATTAAAAATAATATAGTTTCTGAGTGATTATTTTGGAACTAGCAGCCAGAAACGAACAAACAGCCTTCCCCCAGCAACAATGTTGTCATTTTTTAAAAATATTTATCTCAATATCCTGTAAAATTAAATAAAAATAACTTAGAAACAACATTTACCAGATACAATTGGTTATTATAAAATGAATGTGCATCAATTCCCATATAAAAATAAAAAATAAGATTGAATATTGGAAACTTGTGTTCATGTGTAACGAATGGCTTGTTTTCACCTATGGTAATGGTCTCTGGGGATGTAATTCATATCTGAATTCTTAGATTCTTTAGAGACTTACTCTCAATGGTAAACAATGTTTTTGGGAGATAGCTATGAGGCTATAAAACCATGTTATAATTATCTTGACTTTCTAATTTAAGATGAATTCTTATTTCAAAAGGTGAGTGTACTGACTTCGCTCTACCATTAGAGAGTGCTTTGTTCTTTGCAAATGTATGTGCTATACTTATAAGCTGTAGTTGAAAAACCAGTCAAGCGTAATCACACAAATTTTAACTGAATCAACTAATTGTTAAAGTGTAATTCCGGTGAATAATTAGTTTTCAAAGCCTTAGTTATGGTACTTCTTATGTAACAGTAAGCTGCATAACATTTTCTTTTTTTTTGCATAACATTATCAATTCACACATTATATCAACTATAAAACTGAGTGAATGAATCCTAATATTATTCAACGGAAATAGAACACGATATACTGTATTATATCATACAAGTAATTTGGAAAGGATATTTGGGTTATTTATTAAAAATTTCCACCTCCTCCCATTTCCCTCCCACTCCCCCCTTCTCCCTCTCCCTCCCTCTCCAGTCCTAAGAGAAGTCAGAGTTCCCTACCCTGTGGGAAGTCCAAGGTCCTCCCCCCTCTATCCAGGTCTAGGAAGGTGAGCATCCAAACTGACTAGGCTCCCACAAAGCCAGTCCATGCAGTAGAATCAAAACCCAGTGTCATTGTCCTTGGCTTCTCAGTTAGCCCTCATTGTCAGCCACACTCAGAGAGTCCGGTTTGATCACATGCTCCATCAGTTCCAGTCCACCTGGCCTTGGTGAGCTCCCATTAGATCAGTCCCACTGTCTCAGTGGGTGGACGCACCCCTCGCAGTCCTGAAATCCTTGCTCATGTTCTCCGTCCTTCTGCTCCTTAATTGGACCTTGGGAGCTCAGTCCAGTGCTTCAGTGTGGGTCTCTGTCTCTATCTCCATCCATTGCTGGATGAAGATTCTATAGTGATATGCAAGATATTCATCAGTGTGGCTATAGGATAAGGCCAGTCTTGGGCAGCAGAGGAGAGTGGAAAGGATATTTGAACCTGATAAATTATTTAAAACTTCATGACAAATTGTACATTTGTATAATTTAATTTTTCTTGTGTATATAATAACTGATTTGCTATTTTCATAATCCTCCCTCATACTAACATCCTTAGTTTTAAAATCCACATGTATATTTTATTATATACATTCAATGTAAATGAAAAATACATTAAATGACATTTCTAGAATTTCATTTAGAAATTTATGATTCTATACATATGAATATATAAACACTGAGATTCCAATGTAATCTCAAATTATATATTTTGAATGATATATTTTTTAACTTTTTATTGATTCTTCGCGAATTTCAGATCATGCATCCCAATCCCACACATCTCCTTGTTCCCTCACTTCCACCCTCTGCTCTTGTAACCTCCTTCCAAAAACAAACTTTAAACTAAAATCCCAAAACCCAAACAAAGCAAAACAAACAAACAAAAAAACAAATAAAAAAATATTGGCATGGAAGCTGTAGTGTGGCAATGAATCACACATTATCCCATTTAGTTTATACATCTTTTCATTACAATGAGTCATTGTTCTGGCTTGAGGACTTTGGTTTCTACGACACCCCTGTGACTGGCCTCTCACTAGAACTTCTCTTGGATATATTATTATTGCCTTGTTTCATGGAGATTCTGTAGGTTTGGATTTGCAGATTTGGCCCCTTTACATGCTTGGGAGGTTCATAGATGAGATGGGTTTTGGGGTGGGGTACCTTGTAGTCCTGGTTCTGGGCCTGAGTGGTAGCTGGATTGTTTAGCCTGCTACCATCACCACCATCCAGGTGAGCTCCCAGTACTTCCCAGGCTAGCTCACTTAATGTAGCAAACATCAAGGAGAGAGGCTGTTTCTCCTGTTATCACACCACTGCTTTTGTCAGGTGAGGTGCAAAGCCAGCTTTTCCATTTGCATACCCCTGACATCAGCTCTCCCACCTTTCCCAGGGGGCAGTGGTAGGGGAGCGCATGTTTCCCTTGCCCTTGACATCCATAGAATACAAGGAAGGGAAAACTGTGCTTATCACCCAGAGTCTGCCGGGCTTAGAAACACCCAGATGTTTGTGGGTAAAATTTTTCATGCCCAGGGCAGCAGACCTGGAGCAGAGTTATGTTTGTCTTCCAGAGTCTGCCAGGCTTAGAAATGTTCATAGGTTCATGGGCGAAATTCTTCCCACCAATATATTTTTTGTAACAACGTTTATCTGTGTGTTAATGAAAATGCACTCACATATTTATAAATCCCTTCCTGTCCTGTCTCCATCACAGCCTTGTTCTGGCAGCAGCTATCCTGTCCCATGGCTTTCCCGGAGGATGGGAACCATACTGCGGTGACAGAGTTCATTTTATTGGGCCTGACAGATGACCCAGTCCTTAGAGTCGTCCTCTTCATCATCATCCTGTGCATCTACCTGGTGACCGTGTCTGGGAACCTCAGCACCATCCTTCTCATCATAGTTTCCTCCCAGCTCCATCATCCCATGTACTTTTTTCTCAGTCACCTGGCTACTGTTGACATAGGCCTCTCATCTTCTGTCACACCTAATATGCTTGTCAACTTCCTGGTAAAGCAAAATACTATCCCCTACGTTGGATGTGGCATCCAGCTCAGCTCAGCTGCTTTTTTCGGTGCATCTGAATGCTTCCTTCTGGCTGCCATGGCTTATGATCGATTTATGGCAATCTGCAACCCACTGCTTTATTCAACTAAAATGTCCTCAAAAGTCTGCATCCAGTTAGTTTTGGGATCGTATATAGGGGGGTTTCTTAACTCTTCCTCCTTTATTTTTTCCTTCTTTTCTCTTCTATTTTGTGAACAAAATAGGGTCAATGACTTTTTCTGTGATTTTGCTCCATTGGTGGAACTCTCCTGTTCTGATGTCAGTGTCTATGTAGTTGTTATCTCATTTTCAGCTGGCTCAGTTACTATGGTGACAGTGTTTGTCATAGCCATCTCCTACATCTACATCCTCATCACCATCCTGAAGATGCGCTCCACTGAGGGCCGCCACAAGGCCTTCTCCACCTGCACCTCCCACCTCACTGCAGTCACTCTCTACTATGGAACTGTTACATTCATCTATGTGATGCCTAAATCAAACTACTCAATGAACCAGAACAAAGTAGTGTCTGTATTCTACATGGTTGTGGTTCCCATGTTGAATCCCCTCATCTATAGCCTTAAGAATAATGAGATTAAGGGTGCTCTGAAGAGACAGCTTAGTAAGAAAATACTTTCTTAGATATGTCTTTAATCCATTATGCTGTCATAAGCTTATAGTAATGACACACCATAGATATTGTGTTAAGTGGAAAATGGGTATTGATTGGTGAAATAAATGCTATGATATAAATTTACCAGACTCATATTTGGTAGTAAATGTACAGTGTGAGTATTCATAATCACAAATTAAATCATATGTTCATAATAAATTGTATGTAATACATTTCATGTAGAACTAAAAATTTTTTGTATATAGAATTGTTATTTTTTGATTTTCTAGACAGGGTTTCTTTGTAGCTTTTTGGTTCCTGTCCTGGAACTAGCTCTTGTAGACCAGGCTGGCCTCGAACTCACAGAGATCTGCCTGCCTCTGCCTCCCGAGTGCTGGGATTAAAGGCGTGAACCACCACTGCCTGGCGAATTATTTTGTTTTTAATAATGAGCATGGAATCCAGAGCTTGGTAGAACCAATATGTTCTGTCTATAAGCCTCAGGACCCCTGAGAATTCTTATAAGCTAATACTACCATATTTATTTATCATTTATCAACTTAGTTCCTTACACTTAGAAACCCCATCATTGAAACAGTTCATTTCTGCAGGAGCATAAGAGTATCTTTTTTCTTCCCTTTGTGGTTCTACTTTGTCAAAAAGCTTTTTGATTTGAGACCAACTTTGATATACTACTGCTCATTGCCAGTATCTCTACTTTAGGCTGACCTCTTTCACAAAAGATACTGCCAATAAGATGGCTAGCAATGTGTCAACTTGATTACAATGTTGTTCTCAGACTTTTGTTCCAATATTAGTACAAATAATTCTTGGATTGTTTGTACAGGTAATTAACATATACCACATGTTGAATGAAGCAAATTATCTTATGTGATCAGCATTTTCTGATCAGTTTTATAGAGTGCTATTTGTCAATTGTTGTCATTAATTCATGTCAAATGGAGTTCTATCTCAAAAGTCTTTTCCTGTACAGATGTCTTGTAGAGGACTGTCCATGTTTACTTTTAGTAGTTTCAGAATTTTATGGTTCATACTGAGGTTTTTGGTTCATTTGGAGGTGATTTCACACTGGTCATAGATATGCATCTAATTTCATTCTTATGCATGTGAACATCCCATTTTTCATGCATTATTTGTTGAAGATGTTGTATTTTTTTAGAGTGTGTTTGGCAGTTTTGTCCAAGATCTACATTTATTATTATGTTCTTCTTATCTCTTATGAATATTTCTTAATATACAAACACATGGTTTTTATGAATTAATCATCTATTATTTCAAAACCTTAAACTTGTCCACATTCTCTGTGATCTCAAGACCCTCTCACACACACAGCACCACTATATGAAATGCAGTATTCTTTCCATATGGGAGACACCCTGAGTCATCTGTGACTATCAATTTGTACACTGTTCATTTCAGGAAGACATCTATGAAATCCACAGAAAATAAATTTTACCATTCAGGAGGCCCTGACTATTTTACAGGACATGTAAAGAGATACTGCAGTATAATGAAAAGGTCGGATCACAGCTATACCCTTATTAACTGTCCTCCTTAAGGCTCTTTCTTTGACGATGAATAAAAGGACAGTTTTTGAGAGATTTTCTCCACAAGGATACTTGGTTTCCTGACATTTCTTTTCAGTAAGTCTCTGTTTCCAGTAAAATGCAGGGATTCAGTATTGTGCATGTATACTGGTTATAGTAGACTAATTCAATGAATCTAAAGGAAATAGAAATATACAAATTTTTATGAAATGAAAAAAGAAATTTTGGAGAGCTTTTATTGGCAAGATTATCTATTGGAAGGGCATTTGTATATCCATAAGAGTTGGGTTAGTTTCCTGTCCTCTGACTCTAATATTAGCTACTTGTTTTGTATGTGTTTCACATTGAGATTCCCATGGGGTCCTTGATGCATATATAAACATTTTTTAATGGTGAATATTGAACCTGGATCTTGTAGGGAACAAGTTTTCTACACCTTCACACAGAATGTTATTTGATCTCTACATACTAATAATTAGCTTGTATTTATATTTGTCTGCATTCTCTTTTATTCCAAACTCATTCCTTTCCAGTAATAAACCACATCATCTAATCAGTGAAATGATTCAAAAATATGAAAGAATTTTATATCTTTTATCTCTGTCTTCTGTCTGTGCTCTTACAGTAGAACAAAAGCTTTTCAAATTCTGATTAGCATGAATCTACCATTTATCTACATCTTCTCTGATACTAATATTCAAGTTGACCCATTTACTTTACAATAAATCACACTGTTGGAAGGATTAATATTATGCATGAACCTGATTAAAATGTCGTGACCACATTATTGTTATACATGAGCCTGTGATGTTATTGTAAGATTTGATTAGCATTAATGGTCATTGATTAAAATAAATAATTATTCATAATCTGATTGGTCATAGTCCAAACAGCTCAAGGCCTTTATGTCTGATGACTTCAGGAGAGGAAGGACTCTAGACTCTATTCTGACTTTAGTCTTTAATATTCTCTCTCTCTCTCTCTCTCTCTCTCTCTCTCTCTCTCTCTCTCTCTTCCTCCTCTCTCTCCTTCCCTCCTTCCCCCTCTCTCTGTCTCTGTCTGTCTCTCTCCTCTCTGTGTGTGTGTCTTTTCTGACACTTCTTTCTACCTCCTTTTCTACCTCTTTGTACTCTTCTGTGTATGTGAATTTCAGAGCACAATTATTCTTTATTTCTTTGATTTTTTTAGAAAATAGATTCTTCTCTTATATAATAAATCCCAACCATATTTCCCTTCCCACAACTCTCCTTAGCTCCCTCAACACCTTTCCTTTTACCCTGATCCATTCCCTTGTATCTTTTTCAGAAAAGAGCATGCCTCCAGGAGATGACAGCCAAACAGGACAGAACAAAATACAATAAGACAAAATGAAAACCCTCATATCAGTGCTGAAAAGGTCAATACACTGGGGGAAATGAGTTCAAGAATAGGCAAAAGAGTTAAGGAGACACTGCTCCCATTGTTAGCAGTCCCACAAAAACACCAAGCTAATAGCCATAACAGATACACAGAGGATCTGGTACAAACCCATGTAGGCCCTATGCTTGGTCAAATAAAATGTTAAATCTAAAAATTCCAAATACTAAACAATCAGGAAATTTGAAACACTGTGAAAACAACAAATCTAAGAAAAATAGGAATCAAAGTAGAAAAAAACCAGTTCACAGGCCTAGAAAATATTTTAAATAAAATGATAGACAAAAACTTTCCTAACTAAAAGTAGCAAAGGCTTATAAAGTTACAGGTATCATAGAAAAAAACAAATAGACTTGACCAGAAAAGATGCTGCACAGCATCAAAACACTAAGCATAGAGAAAAAAGAAAGAATATTAAAAGCTGTGAGTGAAGAAGACCAAATAACATAGGAAGGTAGATCAATTAGCATTACACCCGACTTCTCAACAGAGACTCTAAAAGTCAAAAAATCTGGACAGATGTGCTGTAGATTCTAAGACACTACAGATACCAGCCCAGACTGCTATACCCATCAAAACTTCCATTATGAACATAGTTGTAAAAATCCTCAATAAAATACTTGAAAATTGGATTAAAAACACAACAAAAAGATGACCCAACATGATCAGTAGTCATTCTTGTATACAAATGTGAAATTGTATGAATAAAAATTAGGAAAACCACACTTTTCAAAATTGTGTCAAATAGTATACAATATCTTGGCATAGCTCTAAGCAAAGAAGTTAAAGATTTGTTTTATAAATCATCAAGTTTTTGGAGGAAAAAATAGAAGATATCAGAAGATGAAAACATCGCACATGCTCATAGATTAAAAGTTTAACATAGTAAAATTTGCCATCTTACCAAAAACAATCTTTAAATTCAATGTAATTTCCATAAGTTTATAACACAATCTTTCACAGATCTTGAAAAGACAAATCTCAGTTTCATATGAAACCACAAAAATTAAAAAAAAAAAACAACTGGGAAAACTAAAACAATTTCTAAATAGAAGAACTGCTGAAGCTATCACTATTTTCTAGTTCAAGTTGGACTACAAAGCTATATAAGTAAAAAGAACAGCATAATGGCATAGAAATATACATTGGTCAATGGAATCTATTTGAAAACCCATATATAAATTCATATACCCATAGACACATGAATTTAAAAAAATAAAGATTCAGAAATACACACTGGAAAAGAAGACAGAATTATCAGGAAATGGTGCTGGTCAGGGTAAATGTCTGCATGTAGAAGAACGCAAACAGATCCATAGCTATCACCCTGTATAAAATAAAATTCCAAGTTAATCAAAAATCTCAACACAAAACCAGATATATTGAACTTGATAGAAGAGGAAAACAGATAGTAGCAATAAACTAGTTGACACAAGAGACTTTCTGAAAAGAAGACCATTAGGGCAAGCACTAAGATCAACAATTAATATATGGGACCTCAAGAAGCTGAAAAGATTTTGTAAGGCAAAGGACACTGTCTTTCCCGCCTACCTCAGTTTCTGCCCTATCAAAAGGCCAAGGCAGTTTCTTTATTCAACCAATGAAAGCAACACAAATACAGAAGGACCTCACACATCAGGAATGAATTATTTAAGTACCTAGAAATAGGCTTTTCCAACCTGACAACACCTACTGTTATCAAAGCCTCTCCTGGGAGTTCAGAGAGTTCTAAAAGTCCACGTTACGAACTATTTTACAGTCTTAAGGAAAGAAACACATTTGATTTTCCCGATTCACCAATTGTATGTGGCATCAGAATGATGACTGTGTGTAGGAAACTTTTGAGAGTTCATGTAACAATAAGGAATATGATGATGATGGTTTGTTGTTCCTAGTATCTCTGGATAAGTTGAAAAGGCCAAAAAAATATGTTCCATAATTAAAACTTACCTGACTTTTGGCATCTCAGAATACAGTGAAGGACAGCAGTAAGCTCAGTAATAAAATTGACTGGCTGCAGATTGCAGATGTGCATAAACCTTCTA